TCAGCAACTATTCGCGCTAATCTTATGGCTCATCGTCTTCTCGGTTACGTGGATGGAACGGAACCGGCACCTCCCTCTCTTCTCCTTGACGAAAAAGCTGCTACCTCCGGCAAGGAAGATCCACCCGTCATGAAGGCAAATCCAGCCTATGAGACGTGGCTGATTGTCGATGCCCAGATCCGTGCATGTTTATTGGCCATCGTCTCCCCCACTGTTCAAACGCACATCCATTCTCTTCCCACGTCTGCAGCTATATGGACTCACCTTGAGCAACGGTATAATTCTCTATCTCGCACCCATATTTTTCAGTTGAAAGAACGTCTCCATAGTCTTCAAAAAGGGAGTGATTCCATGCAAACCTATGTTGACAATGTCTTGAATATTGTTTCCTCCCTTACTCTGGCTCATGAGCATATCTCGGACCAAGACGTCATCCTTTGCATACTCCGTGGACTGCCAGCGGATTATAGTTCTCTGAAACAGAACATTCGAACCAATATTGAGAATGTCAATTTAAATCAAGTCTCGGCTTGGCTTCTATCAGAAGAACTCAACATCAATCTTGAGAGACAATTATAAATCACAGGTTCTGCCTCGTCATCTGTTTCGGAAATTCACAATACCCTTTTCACAAATTCTGGCCGGGGTAATTTTCGCGGCCGGGGACGCGGTGGTTACCGCGGTAGGGGTAGTTCTCGAGGCAGGGGTACGTACGGAGGTAGGGGCAGCCGTCCTCCTGGTCACCAGCGGGATGATCACCATGACCATGGCAGAGGGGGGCCACGGCCTGGTTTCGTCACTTGTCAGCTCTGTGGGAAGCCTGGTCATGCGGTTTGGGATTGTTGGCACCGCTTTGATGAGTCCTACTCTGGTCCATCCCAGGCATACTAGACCACTCAGTCCACTGACATCAATTCGAATTGGCATCTGGATACAGGGGCAAATGCTCATGTGACTTCTGATTTATCTCGTCTGCAGTCTTCTTCACCATATCAAGGCACCAACTCTATAACTACTGCGGGAGGTAATACTTATCCCATTAATCACACAGGCTCAGGTATTTTAACCACCTCCCATCACACTTTC